ATCCAATTTAAATCATACCCAATAATAAGGTGATCCGCTCTGCCAAATTAATTTCCCCCGATCCAATTAATATTATCCGACCCAATTTAAACTTCAAAGATAATAAATAAGAGGACCTGTAAATATAATCCATTTTGCAAACAAAATTAGTAGTTTTTTTTGGTTTACTCCATCTCTTTCACAGGATTTGTATAATAACTAACAGAAACTAGGGAGAGTACAAAATTATGGATGAGCTGACGCCAAGCACAGCAAATTCAAGTCCTTTTCTTTTTACCTTCTTGGAAAGAGCCGCTACTCTCTATGCCAATTGCTCTTCCATTGTCATAGATAATATTTAATTTAGTGACAAGGTAGAGACTGCACTGTCATGAAAGTTTTTAGAAATGTTTTCAGTTGGTAAACATAAGTGGAGATGATAAACATATTGATCCTTATAAATTAAAGCAAAGAAGCACAAATAAAATTCTTTAGTTTTTTATGATTGAATTTTAAAATTTGTCGGATGATATTAATTGGGTTGGGTAAAATTGATTCGGGTGGGGCGGATTACCTTACAATTAGGTATGGTTTAAATTGGATGGTTTGTATTAATCCTAGTTGTACATGTGTCCCTGGTTAGTTATAAGGGCAAATATGTGCCAAAAGTATAACGGGAGGGGTTTATTTAGCCCAAAAGTATAACTAGGGGTCTATTTGAACTATTTCCAATAGTAGATGGGTATATTTGACCCTTTGCCCACTAATTAAATTCCCCAAAAGAAAGTCATTTCTTCCTTTTATGTTCAAATTAAGATATTTTTATTTTTATTTATTACTTCATTTTATACATTAATTATCTTGTCAACATATGAGTTAGTTTTCTTCAAAACATATCTCTAGTTTATTTCCTTCCAAATTTTAAAAAATGGATTTTTAATTACTTAGTTAACATTTTCAAAAGTTAGTCAAAACCTTTGGCAAATCGTTGGTCAACCGCATGTTACCGGACATTTCAAAAGCTTAAACCCTTCTCAAAATATAAATTGATCCCCGAACCCTCTTTTGATATCAAAGGATTTTTAATCTGTTTAAATCTTCTGAAAAATCTTAAGTTTTCTTAATTCTTTCATAAATTAAATGGTGACTCTCTTTTGTAAAAATCATTTTTTCTTTGAAAAATATGCTAATTGATTTTTCGAAGCAAAAGTCTTTTTTATTTGATTTTAAAACAAAGATATTGTCATCTAACTGTGGTTCCATAGGTGATAGATAGTTAGGGATTCGTGGTCGCCCCTTGATGCATGCTTTCCCACAAAGTTGAAAGGGAAAAAGGGAATTATGATGCTTCAGTTGCCTCATTTAACATCGTGGCATGACATGATGTTCTTACACCCAAGGTTCTTCCAAATAAAGCATTTCAACCAGTAAAACTTCTTCCAAAATTCCCAAGTAATGTTTGATGCGGTGCCCAATTACCTTAAAGAGTAGCCATTCTTTCCTATGAGGTCAATCACTCCATTGTCATAGACTTCAGGTTCTTTGAATGGTCTTGACCACTTTGATTTGAGCTTTTTCAGAAACAACTTTAACCTAGAATCGAACTATAACACCCTATCTCCAGAAGTAAATTCTCTCTTCAAAACTTTTTTATCATTGAAGTTTTTCATATGGATCTTGTTATGCGTTTCACTTTCATACACTCTAAACCTGAAATCAACAATCTCATTGAGGTCTTCCACCCGTGTCTGGGCTGCTCATGGCCAATCCATGCTCATATTTTAAAAATTCCACAAGGCTTTGTTCTTGAGTTCAAAAGGTAGGTGAAATTCTTTTACAAAGACCATTTTATATGGGGACATTGAAATATTTATTTTGAATGTTGTTCGGTATGCTCACAAAGCGTCATCCAACGTTCGTTCCCAATTAGTGCGATTGGCATTCACTGTTTTTGCAAGAATGGTCTTGATCTCTCAGGTTGATATTTCTTTTTTCCCACTCATTTGAGGGTCATATGGAGTGGTCCCCTAGTACTTTGACACCATATTTAGATAACAAGGTGCTGAGTGATTTATTGCATAAGTGTGATCCGTCATCACTAATGATGGCTCCTAAAGTGCCATATCGAAAGAAGATGTGCATCTTTAAGAAAGTTGAAACACTCCTTCCATTATTTCTTGGTTATGCAATAGCTTCAATCGATTAAGGCAAATAGTCCTGTGCCACAAAAATATTTGTATTTCCATATGAGCTGATGAGCAGTCCCATAAATCAATTTTCCAAACATCAAAATATTACATTTCAAGGATACGATTGAGTGATAGCTCATTACGCTTCTATAAGACTCCTTTTCTTTGACATTGATCGTAGTTCTTTACCACGTTATGAGCATCCTGATATAGTATGGGCCAACCAAATCTACATTGCAACACTTTGGTTGTTGTTCGGGTTCCTCCACCGTGTCATCTAACATGAGATAAGTAAGAAGCCTCTAAAATTGGTATCATTTCTATTTTGGGGACAAATCAACAAATGACACAATTAGTACATACCCTAAATAGGTATGTCTTTTCCCAAAAGAATTTCTTAGCTTTGAATATAAATTTATTTTTTTGTGTGTGAATTAAGGTCTCCCAACATAACATTACTTGCTATGAAATTTGCTACATAAGCAAACCATGGCATTAAATCATGACAGGCAGCTACGATGCGCTCATCCAGAAAGTTATATTTTATTTCCACAACCTCTTTTTCTCTCCCTTCTTCTTCCAACCTTGAAAGATTGTAACCCACTTGGTTTTAAGATCCTCATCGGTTTTTTACTTCAAAACTAAAATTCTTGCAAGAGAAGTTTCCATTTGATAAATCATGGTTTGACATCTTTCTTTGTTATTAAGTAACGAAGGTCAGCATGATCTGTGTGTACAATTATCTTAGTTCCAAACAAGTATGACATGAACTTTTCAAACGTGAATACCACCACTAGCAACTCTTGCTCTATTTTGGGGACAAATCAACAAATGACACAATTAGTACATATCCTAAATAAACAAAAGTGTGTCACACATCAACTCAATAGGTTTAGACCAATCGGGGCTATGATTAATAGGGCTAAGGTGAGCTTAACCTTGATACAAGTGAAATCCTCCTAAAAAAGATGTATCAAATATGAACTTGGTTCTTTTTTCTAACAACTAAAATAAAGAATGTGCGATTTTGGAACAATTGATGATGAACCTTCAATAAAATCCATCATGACCTAGGAAGCTTCTCACTCCCTTGACTTTTTTTGGTAAAAGCAATTTTTCTATCATGTCTATGTTTCTTGATCAACCTCAATTCCCATCTCAGAGTTCTTGTTACCCAACACAATCCCTTCTTTCACCATGAAGTGATACTTTACCTAATTGAGTCCCAAGTAGGTTTCCTCATAGCTCCTCAAAACACCTGCCAAATGGTTCAAACATTCCTAAAAGGAGTCTTCTACTACTAGAAAGTCATCTAAAACACATTTGTCGTATCCTCCATGATGTCTCAGAATATGGACATCATACACCGTGGGAATGTGATGGGGGCATTGCATAAGCCAAAAGGTATTCACTTGAATGTAAATGTTTCACACGGTCAAGTGACAGTTGTATTTTCTTGATATTTATGAGCTATGCAGTTTTGATTGTAACCCCAATAACAATAATAATCCTTGTCAAAAAATATATCCAGCATTTGATACACAAACAACACGGGGAATTGATCTTTTTAGTGCTAGCATTAAACTTTCTATAATCCATGCACACTCTCCATCCACTACAAGAAAATGGGTCTTTAGCGATAGGAAAATTAGTCTCTAAAAGGGCAAATCCAGTCGTTATTGGTCATTTACGACTGAACAAAAATTGGTCATCGTTCGTCGTTAGTAGCTCCGACGTTAATACTAGACGACCAAATTCAAGTCCGGTCGTTAAGAAATCTTTAGTGACGGCAAAAAAATTGGTCATTAGATCTTTTTTGCGATCACATTTCCCCTTCGTTAATTTTTATCTTGGTCGCTAGATAACTTCATATAGTTATATTATAAGCTCTTTTAGAGACTGGAATCCATGTTAACAACCACGTATTTCCCTTTGTTGATATTTAAAAAAAAAAAATATTATTAAATAAAAGCTTACATTTTGTCTGATCCCTTGTGATTGATAATTAAAAATCATTATATTTCATATATATATGTAATTAAACAAACATTTCCAATGTCATAAATTGATTCAATAATATAAATTGATGATAATGTAAGTACGTACGTAGTTAATTACGTACAATGAATGAAGAGTTTCTAAAAATCCTACAAAAAGAAAAATAAGAATCTAGAATGTATATATATGTAGAGATGCTAATTAATAATTTAAAGAAAATAGCCTAGTTTTGTAACATAAGTTTAATGAACTTCTTGCACTTTAACTTGTTCATCTCTGCTAATATCTTCAATTGTTGTTCAACTCGCTCCACATGACTTGAAGATCCTTCGTCACTTCAAATTCTTGATCATGATCTGTTGCAAGGATAAATATTTGCATCAGTTAATTGAATAATTCAATCCGATATATATGTTGCGGAGACATAAATAATGATTGTTTAATTATTTTCTCATTAAAAATTCCAGATTGTAAGAAATTAAAATGATTTGTTTCACAAGAATATTCGGCAAAGTACAGAAGCACAACGTTAACAATATATAATACTAACTAATTTAATTCAGAAGAAGAGAACTGAAAGTGCAGAAGTTTGAAATGCTGCCAGGGAGACTGCTCTTAGTGAAATTAATGAAAGGATAAAAAAACAAATGATGAAAAGAAGGATAAGAAGGCAGAGATTCATGTCAAGTTACAAAAAGATAGACGAAACAGTAATATGTCCAAAGGGGAATACTTTTGATTTTAACTGGTCACGTGATGAGCTAGCAGCTATTGATACTTCTTGCCTTAAGCAGTAAAAAGCTTACTGACCTGTAAAATGATTCAGCAATTACTTTATTCACTTGATGATGGTGGTGATGAAGGATCTCTAAAGATTGCACTATCAAACATTTCACATTTCTTCTCTATGTTATCCAAGCGTCTTTTAATTGATTCATTTTCTTTTCGAGTCGCATTCAGTTCTTCTAATAGTGCAGCCTTTTCCTTTGGACTCGTATTTAGCTCTTCTAACAGTGCAGTCTTTGCAGCGCTGCCTCCTTTCAAATCCCTACTGGTTATTCCACCACCAAATCCAATCACATGACTCTTGCTTTGCGGTCCGAAACATCTTTCTACCACCTCGATATTAGTAAGCGACGGCTCAACTTGTAGTAGTTCTTGAATTTCATCCTGTAAAATATAAGAAAATTAAAGGATAATGCAATATACATTCAGTAAAAGTATGTAACCAGAAATTTGTAAATTCACATACATATTTTTTATTAGTTTCAGGTTCGAGAAGCTTGTTGTCCTTCTTACGAGTCTCAAAGAAGATAGTCGCCATGTCCGGTGGATTACCATGCTTTCCTCCCTTAACATTCAAACAGTCATATATTTGAAACGAAGAGGAGCTTTCTTAATAGGAGTAGAAGAATCGAATACGTACCAATTCATAAATTATCTCTCTAATTGGCTTGCTACCCGTACGGTGAGGCATACTCAACTTAGACCTATTCCTTGCGTTTCGCGTACTTGTTTCCTGTATTAACAACACATTAGCAACATTATGATAGACAAATTAAATGACTGGTTAGTAAATATCCTACCTTAAATTTTTTGGATAAAAAATGCTCTTTGACCAACCATTCCCAATCACTCTTGTCGACCCCCTGTGGCACATCTTTGAGAACCTCTTTCAATGGTTTCGACTTTGCATTCATGTGCAGTGATCCTCTCCAGGTGGAAGGAATGATTGCTTTAAATTCTTTGAACTTGATCCCATTTCAGATTTCTTAAAATTTAAAGGACTCATTTCATCCTATCATAAAGTCCAACAATAGAGTACATTTAGCTAAGTATCTTTTAGGACGGATATTAACATAGAACAAATATAAAAATAGCTAGGATAAACAAACAAAAGATAAATGCTACTACACATTGTCTCTATTCATTTCATACAAAGTAAATAAGAAGATATTGTTATTCGATCAACCTCTATTCACTCTAACTACTTCAATGGATCAAAATTACATATAGAAGATTTAGAATATGTGCATGTAATTGAAAAAATATAAGCATCCACTATGAAGTTCCAAACCTGTATGAGTTCTTTTTCTTTTTCTTTCAATTGAATCATGTAAATCCTCAGAATCATTATCATTCTTTTGCATATCATCAAAAGAATCACGAGGCATAAACTTTCGCACCACATTCCAGCCTTTATTAGAATGATCTCTCGCATAAAATACTTGTGATGCTTGATTGGCTAATACAAAAGGCTCATCCGTTTTCAAAAATCGTTGTGGGTTAACACTCACAAAGTCATATTCATCCATTTTAACTCCCCTTTCTTTGTCATATACGTCATACCACATACATCTAAACAAAACCAATCTTCTCCCCCCGATAAATTGTAATTCAAGAATCTCTGTTAGTTCTCCATAGTAATCAATTATTCTATCTTCTTCATCAGTCTCACCGGCAACAACTATCCCACAATTTTGAGTCCTCAAACCGTTATCATAATCTTGTACATGAAATCTATACCCATTAATAATGTAGCCTTTGAAACTTGTCACGTATTTCATAGGACCACGTGACAATGTGAGTAAATCTTCCATTTTCTTACTATTGTCATGTTCGTATAATCCTGCAATCTATCATGATTAAGAACATAGTTTAGCAAATATTATTTCCATGATTTGAAAATAATAGTTTTTAAATAGTATTCACCTTTTCTTTAAACCAACTGATGAATTGTCTATCTGAATTTTTTTGAGAGGAATCACCTGGAACTTGAGAAAACTCTCTATAGAAGATTGAAGCATAATAAGAGTCATTACTTACTTGAGAAGAATTACATTTTGAAGCATTTTGAAGAATTACAAAATCATTATTTTGAAAAGTAATTACTTACTCGAGAAATGGTTGAACTTCATCACAATTCTTCAAAATATAAATATAGGCTTGCTCCATTTCTTTTAAATCAAGTCGGTGTGTCTTGCCACCTTTTAAAGCTTTTCCAGGTTGACAAAAAATCATTAAACCTCCATCAGATTCTATAGCACCCCCATCATAATTCCGTTCAAGGCGATTAAATTTTGTTTCCATTGTATGCAAATACCTTGAACATAAGGTCATAAATTCATTTGCTATATGTCCCTCTGCAATAGAACCTTCAACGCATGATCTATTACGAATAAAAAGCTTCAAAAAGTATAACCATCGCTCTATTGGATACATTGATCGATATTGAACAGGTCCAGCAATCATAGCCTCATTAGCTAAATGAATTGGCAAGTGCTCCATGACATCAAAAAAAGCAGGAAGGAAAACCTTTTCTAACTTGCATTGAGTTTCAGGAATTTGTTCTTCTATTTGTTCCAACTCCTCTAGTTTTAAGCACTTTGCTCCAAGAATATTGAAAAACAATGACAACTCAATTATTGTCTCACGCACCTCCGTGCATAGCATACTATGTATGGCAAGTGGGATTAAATGTTGAAGAATAACATGACAATCATGACTTTTTAATCCTGAGATTTTGTGATCTTTCATATTGATACAATGAGAAATATTTGATGAAAATCCATCAGGAACCCTTAAATCCTTCAAAAAATTTAAAAACTTGTGCTTCTCTTCAGGAGATAATGTGAAACATGCTGTTGGTAGCTCATACTTGTCTCCATTTTCTTTTGGATGTAATTCTTTCCTGATGTTCATTTCTTGCAAATCCAAGCGACTGCTCAGGGTGTCTTTTGTTTTGCCTTTGATATTTAAGATTGTTCCCAAAATATTATCACATATATTCTTCTCAATGTGCATCACATCTAAATTATGCCGCAACAACAAAGTTTTCCAATATGGAAGATAAACAAAAATACTCTTCTTATTCCAATTATCACCTCTTTTCTCATGTGATACTTTAATCTTCTTCTTTGGATCATTTGTTAGAGGTAACCCATCTAAATCAGCCACTTGATCAAATATGTCATCACCAGATAATGTATTTGGAGGTAATCTCCACTATGTAGTACCATCAAATGACTTTTTATCTTTCCTCCATTTGTGATTAAGAGGAAGAAAGCGTCTATGACCCATATAACACTGTTTTTGACCATTATTCAACCTAATTGAGATTGTTTCTTTATTACAACATGGGCAAGCTAATTTTCCTTTTGTACTCCAACCAGATAGATTTGCATAAGCTGGAAAGTCATTAATGGTCCACAATAAAGTAGCATGCAACGTGAAGTTCTGTTTAATTGACGCATCAAAGGTAACAACTCCAGTTTTCCATAATTCATTTAATTCATCAATCAATGGTTGAAGATAAACATCAATTGCATCTCCGGGACTTCCAGAACCGGGAATAGGCATTGACAAAATAAAATTTTCCTGTTTCATGCATAACCAAGGTGGTAAATTATAAGGAATAAGTACCACCGGCCAAATACTATATGGAGTTCTAGAACATCCAAATGGTTGAAAACCATCACTAGCAAGTCCAAGTCTAACATTACGAGGCTCCATAGCAAATGATTGATGAAGTTCATCAAACTTTTTCCATGCTTTTGAATCAACTGGATGCCTCATAATCCCATCACTAGCTTTGTTTTCATGATGCCATTTCATTAAAGAAGATGTTTTTGAGCACATAAACAATCTTTGAAGCCTTGTCTTTAAAGGAAAATAGCGTAAGATCTTGTGTGGTATCTTTTTTCCCTTTCTAAGTCTAGTTTCTCCACTATTTTTATCCTCCTTCCATCTAGATGCACCACAAATTTTGCAAGAATCAACTAACTTATCATTCTTCCAATATAACATGCAATCATTCTTACATGCATCAATCTTATCATATGAAAGCCCTAGGCTTCGAATTAGTTTCCTTGCTTCATAATATGAATCTGGCAAGTTTGATTCATCAGGCAACAAATCATTCTTTAACATCTTCAGTAACATATTAAATGAGTCATTACTCCAACGACCAATACTTTTAATATGAAGCAATTTCACCAAAGTAGAAAGTTTTGAAAGTTTTGAACCTTTGTATAGTGGTTGATCATATTCCTTTAAAAGACTATAGAATCTTTTCGCTTCAGGATTTGGTTCCTCCTCGGGAATATCATCACCGCCAGTATTCATATTTTCTATATTAAAAGCAGGATGTAAATCTGTAAGAATTTCATGTATTTCATCCTCTTCATCATCCTCGCCAATTTCATTTTCATCATCTGATTCTTCTGTCTCACCTATCCTCTCTCCATGGTGATACCAAAAGGTATAATTTTGGATCATTCCATGTACTATTAAATGTGATCTAACAATCTCTCGTGTTCGAGAAACTGCATTACAACATTTGACACATGGGCATCTTATTTCATTCGCTTTCCTCAATCTTGTAAAAGTATAATTCAAAAAGCTTTCTACCCCATGTATATAAGCATCATCAAGTCTATTATGAATAAGTTGCATCCATTGCTTATCAGGTGCCATAATCCGGTCTAGACAATAAAATGTGGAACAAAAGTATTTCAGTACAAAAATACAAAAGGTGCAACAACTAAAATTATATTTAATCGTCCAAGAATTAATAAATCAATCAAACAAGTTCGAGAGGGGGTTGACAAACCTAAAAAATAGTTATATCTCCTACATGCTAAGATACTTGAATCATAGAACCAATTTGTGGAGTATTTAAGTAAATAAAAATTCTAAGCAGATGAAGAATGGTAAATGTTCTGGTGTTGTGTTGATGAAATAAAAAAGATAGATACTGAGAAAAAAAAGGGGACGACAAATTAATTACCAACAATTCTAACTTTGCGTTCATTAGTTTCTTCTTGACATGTATAAATGAATCCAATGGAGTTCTGCTATACATGAACTTGATCAGGTCCACAAACTTGAAGTTGCATGTTAAATTCTCCAAGAAAGTAGGGGTTACCTCTAGGTGTGTATATTAATGCAAATAGAATTGTGCTACAGAAAATTTAACCAGGTACACTAATAGTTGATTTAGTAGAAATGACAATAGTTCTCAGTTTCTCTGTACAGCCCACTGAATCATATCAAAAATCTACAAGCTTTTTTTTTTTTATCTAAAAGAATTAATGTGGACAGTTTCTGGAAAACTGTCAACTAATAAAAACTGAAGTTAGATGCAACTGAATTTTAAATCCATTTTAGTATACAATTGAATTTCAAAGATAAAAAAAACCATACAGAAAACAAGAATGAGACAGCATATAAAACGCCAAAAACAAATTGAACCTTATAGAATTCAATGAAAGGAAGCTTAAGTATTTGGCTGAGAGAAGGATAAGAAAAACTAACTGTTTCTCGCTGCTCTGCACTCTAGATTAACTGTGTTTATCACTGCTCTGCACTGTTTCTCGCTGCTCTACTCTGCACTCTAGATTACTTAGCTAACCTAGCTACTAATCAAACATATATACAAGAATTCAATGAATTTGGCGGTTACCAATAGCAGACAAATACATTATAAATATGGACAAAACGCAGATTCCATCCAGCAGAATAAGAACATGGCAAATTAGACAACATGAAGATACAAGTTCAGACATATAGACAAAAAAGGAAGGGGAGCAGCAAAGCAATTTACATAGAAGTATGCCCTCAGAAAGGGATCATTAAAATTGATAAAATAAAGTTTTTCCTAATCTACGTTAGCACACAAAAACTTTCACAAAAAGATAGGGCACATCGTCATCTGTAACATTCAAGCATGTAGCAATAAATTATGTCCCACTTTGGATTTTATCTATTTTTTATTACGTAACTCGAATCTTCCAATTCTAAAATTGTAATTCAATAACCAAAAATGGAACCTGACAAAGACTAACATAAAACTACTTGATCTGCCTCAAATGAGCGCAATTTTTGTACAAAAACTAATCGAAAAAATGTTGACAGATACAAAATTGCAGCTCCAAGTACAATAGAGTAACAATAAGAAGAAAAAACTAATCAGATGTGATATATGTGACTAAGGCTATAGACTGCTTCACAAACAATTGCTTTCTACTATAGGAACATGTTGCTCTCTTACTAAATTTCATATCAATTCCCTATAAAATTCAGTCAAACACATACTAAACAGTAATAGATAGTGTGTTGAACCTTGGCACATATAGAAGTTCAACACAAAATTGGTTGTATTTGGTAAAGAAACTTTTGGCTGGATGAGAACAAAGACCATATACATTAATTCTGATCATACATAAAAAAAGCTACGATCTTCATGTTTGATCTGAAAGACTTATTCTCGATTACAATATTAGGGGATAAAGAATGATTGAATACAAGAATTAGATAACATATAAAGCGCCAATAACAAATTGAACATGGTGGAATACAAAGAGGTGGGTTAAAGGATTTGACAGACATAAGGAGAAGAAACACTTACAGTTCTTGTAGCTCTGTAGAATCCATTTATTCTATATTGATAAGAACTCTGTCGATCCATATAAACTATCTTTCATATAGAATAATCAATAAGTACAACGCACAAAAGATTGTATTTTAGTAAAAACAATATCTAACGGGATGAGAAACAGAGAACAACTCCATCAATCCTAATCATACCTAAGATATATTCTTGATGAGTCCAGGAACAATCTTAGTAGATAAATAATGATCAATGTTTCCTCTAAACATTATAACGTCACATCCAATTTCATATAAAATTGAATTCCAGATACAAAAACAACTTTCAGACAAAGATAAAATCGTCACACCAGTTCCAGTTAGAATTGAATTCCAGAACGCCAAAAACAAATTAAACTTGATAGAATACAAAGAGGTCAAATGATTTACCAGAGAGAAGAGAACAATCACTTACTATTGATTTTGTAGAGGAGGAAGTTCTGATCAATTGTTCTGTAGATTCAAAGCTTACTCTGCTTGAAAAAATGAAGAACAAGAACCTCTCTGTAGATTCAAAGCTTACTCTGCTTGAAAAAGTGAAGAAGAGGAACCTCTCTGTAGATTCACAACTATCTTATTTTCTCTTACGAACGTAGAAAACTGAAACCTAGTGATGAGCCGCCGTGGATCTAATGAGAAACGTACGTAGGGCTTCTCTCATATTGTTTCTCAAATAAAACCGAGGGAAAAATACGTGGCTTTTTTTTTTGTTTAAGTTATTATTTGTAAATTTAATATTTAACCCAAATATAATTATTCTTCAATAAAAACAAAAAAATAATATATATATATATATATATATATACTAGTAATTTGTTTTAACGACCGGAAAATAATTTTAGAACGACTAATATTTATCCTCTCGCTTATAATATATTAAAAACTAACTCTAACGACCAAAAAAAATTTTTTGTCATTAGGAATACACTTTTTACGACCACATCTATGTCCCTTCGTTAAGAAATGGTCGTTAAAATGCACTTTTCTTGTAGTGATCCAGTCACCGGTTGGACAACTACCAAATCCTCTTTATCACTGGGAACTAGACTAATTCCTCTCAGTTTTGGAACACATTGCACTTGGCTCACCCATGTACTACCCAAAATTGTGTGAATCACTCATCCATCTAACAAATTTATTATCTCTTTCTTGATGATTTTTTGCATTAGTGTGCTGAGTCGGCCTTAGTGTTCAATAGATGAAAAGTTTCCTTCTTGGAGGGTGATTTTATGTATGAAATTGCACGATGGAATCCAAATAATGTCTCTAATGCTCCACCTCAGAGACTTAACATGATTTTTAAAACGTTCAACAATGCCTCGACTTGATCTTGATTCAACTTAACAGAAACTATCACATACAAGGTTTTATTGTTTCTGAGGAAAGCATACTAAAGATGTGCAAGAAGCGGTTTCAACTCAATAGTTCAAGGCTCAATTATTGATGGTTTTGAAGGAGGGTTCTTTCTATTTTTCAAATTCAAGTGAAACCCCTCTTGGTTGTAAGAGTAAGTGCCCATTGCCTCTAATATGTTGCATGCTTCATCAAACTCCTCTATATAAGTACCTAAATAATTCAAGTGGGCTTCTTGTAATGGTTCATCTACATAATAAATTTCAATGTTCAAACGACAGTGTCTATTAAAGAAACTCTTGCTAATTCGATATGTTGTTTCATAGGTTGATACACGTTAAGCCTTATCTTTTCCCCACTTAATACCAAGTTCATGTCTTTTCCTTGAATATTTAAAAGCTATTTGAAAAGGAATGGTCTGACCTAATGAAAATGAATGGTTTTCCCAAAACAGTTGACACTTCCCTATCGCTTTCCACATCATGTCATGACCCAAAGTATACCTTAGGTGTAGCATGGCCTATAGAACCCTAAAAGGCCCTACACAAACCACTTAGCATATATCATACAAGATAATAGAAATAAAGATTTCAAAAGTAGCAATCTTATATAATAAAAGAGTTTGACAAATAGAATGTTTAACATAGTCTCTACAAGTCATCTAAAACATCAAAGAAAGTGGTTGAGATGCAACTCATAAAATACATACATCATTCGAAAAATAGAAAGACAAAAGGATATAAAACTGTCTCAGTCCTCAAAACATGAGGACTCACCAACTCTTGGATCTGATAGAATAATCAACTAGACATGAGTCTGAGATGTTGGAGCAGCAGACCCTACATTATTGAGACAATGTAGGCACAAGTATGTATTAGTAAATAGAATGTACTATCTATGGGGCAATATGCATAAATAGACTTAATAACATGAAGAAATTTAACCATATGAGATATGACCAACATTCAGAGCAATTAAAGGCCTAAGGAAGTAACAACATATATTTCACAAAATATGGTCAACACATTTAAAAGAAGATATATAAGAAGGATTTTGAAGAAACATAATCATTTTATGGGATATTAGTTTTAACCGACAGTAACATCATGAGAGGTATATCATGGAATCTGGTATATCTCATATGCCGAAATAAGGGGAATCTACTTGCCAAGATAGAATCCATGCATATCATCTTTTCCTAAAGTGGATCAACCAACTAGGTCATTTAAGACAATCCTTTGGGCCACGTAGATAGGGACTAGAGGCTGTAACTAGAGACTACCCTATATGAGCCTCCACATCGAATCCCTCTTGGTACTAAGTCTAAATCCCAATGGAATATATAGAAATCAATTATCATTATAACATGTGAAAGACAATGATCAATATGAAACCAGATCTTAAAGATCAATACATAGTATAGCTCTTGAAATTACAATTCAAGCATAGTTGAGAAAGTATTGCATCAATGTGAATCCATCTATGAGAAATAGCTTTCACATTCATGATCATCTTCATATCTGAGAACACCTTTCAGAAAAATATTAATACTTTCATCTTAAAGCACCCTATCATCATGAGCATCATTTTCATAAGACATGCATAATCCTTCAAAATTCAAATTTCACATGTCAATGGGTTCTTCATAGGTTCATAGTTGAAAATCATCAATCATGCATGGGTCCATATATTTT